CTTAAGGCGACGTCCCATGGACCGCAATACGCGGAAGAGCGGAATCACCGGGGGTGCGTTCCGTTTCTCGCATGGACCGCATGGACGACAGTGCATCACATGCGCGCATTGGCTCGTTTCGTTTTTCTCATGTTCTTACCACAGCATAGTATAACCACAGTATAACCAGTATGCCCACTCGCTCTTTTGTTTCACGTTTGCGCCGATCCGTACTGCGCATCCGACATGTTTTTATTATGACCAATCACAGGATTTTTGCACGTGTGTTAGTGCAAAGTCGGTGTGACATTGAAATATTTGCAGTGTTGACAAATAACGCGTTAATACTTTTATACGTTGGAGCAAGTAATTACATTAATTACTTTTATTAGAACATTTTTTCATAGGCCATTTCCATTTACAATAAATAATGTACGCTAGTTCGTACGCGCCTTTCCTGGATACGATCCTGAATTATTCTTTCAAACACGTTTTACACGATCCCGTACATAATCAAATTACTCGATCAATTACTACATTTTTATGTCTGAAAACTGATTAAGCAGTTTCATCTTTTGACATAATGCTATTTCACTTTCTTTCTTCGCCACATCGAGATGCTTATTTATTATTACGATTAAGCGGTTGAATGCAATCTATAATATCGAAGATATTAAATGATGAGACGATCCAAAAGTATCGTCTTGCAAAGATGGTGTCATTATAACAGCGTCAACGTTAAAAATGAACTGCGCGCGATAGTCATTGATCGAATGGAATTTCATCGCGACCGACTTGCTGGCCCTGTGATCTGTATACATATATCTTCCACCTAGATGATTTCGAGAGACCGGTTTTGTCCACAGGTATTCGCACTGGATCCGTTTTTTTCCCCCTTAAACAGCCGCTAATATCGAAAGAGGATTGGTGTGCGAGTCGCACAAGGACGCGTTTCCCGCGGGTCTCCCTCTAAGAATTCAATATGAAGACTTACTAAAATTGTATCAAGCTTAAGAATCGATTGTATTTTACGGCAATATATGTAAGACAATAATTCGAAAATTGAATTGAGAAAGCTCGACTAATGGTTGATTTAAAAAGTTAATTTATTACAAGAGGCGAAACTTCTATGCATCTCTTTTAATATCTTACGAACATTTGATACAAATTGTCATAAATAAGTTAATCCTCTCATAAGAAAAATTTCGTTTAACACGAATTTCCTGTTGACTCAACGAGAAGCTATGAAGTCCCCTATCGAATCAGACTCGTTTGGAATGAACCATGGACAGGTCCTCAACTCTCGAACTAGTGATTATCTGAGCATGGGACAAAGGACGGAATTCTTCCTGTGCCCGCGCGTATTTGTTCGGCCGTGCTCTTTAGGTTCGGTCTCTCGGTTTGTCTGTTCTAGAAGACTCGTTGAACCGAAGTTACTAATTTAACCACGCTAATGAGTCGCGCGAAAAAGATCCTCGTTCTTGTCGGTGACCTCTCATTGCGAAACGCTGCGCATTGGAAAAACTGCACGATGATGTTTTTCGACGAAATCCGTCATAGCGACGTATTACTCATTCAATGTAAAAACGTGATGAGGAAACGAAGAGAGAAAAAGAGGAAAATCATTTTATAGCAATTTCCTGAAAGAGAATTGTTTGAACACGACTCATTGAGTTTACATATATGTATAATGCTAGATACGTTTTAAAGGATGAAGAAATGTACATTTGACACAAACGTTCTTTTCCATCTTGAACATTAAATGTTACTTGTAAATAAAAAATAATATTCTAATGATAATTGACTAAATATAAATTGCTAATAATCGTAAGGTGGACATTAAACGATACATTTTGCTATATTTACTATAAAAAGGAGATAATATTGTCTGAAATATCACGTATATTAAAAAGATTAAGTTGATTCTAAATTCAACAGAAACATTGTAGATGAAAACATACGTCTTATACTGCGCATAAATTAACATTATTGACGTCACTATATCATTAGAAAATTAAGATGATTGTAAACAAGTGAAAGATCGAGCAACAGCGGAGCAAAAGATGTTTGGAAAGGGACAAGATAGAATGACGGAGTCCCATTCAAGGTAGACAGGAACCAGTGGGTAGATCCCCTTCTTCTTGACCCTTTTATTACTTTCCATAAGTTCTTTCATCAGACTAGAATCGTCCAGTGACGTGAAAGTAACAACAGTGGTGCTCAGCTTAAAAAAGGATTTTTATTAATGTGTCTATTGGATCAATAAATAATAAATATGTAACATATTTTTAAAAAATATATATATATATTATTCTATATGTGACATATTTAAAAAATATATATATAATTTTTATATAGATTATACAGATCCATATTTTCGGAACACATTGAAGACCATTTAAGTTGTTAAAAACTCCAAACTTTCCCGCGCGAGCAAGTTATTTTATTAAAAATCGACTTAATTCCACTTGTACATGTGCATTTTCGAAGATAATAACAAAAATGAACTATAGATAAATGTTGCATACTTAAAAAGATAATAAATATCAAGAAAATTATAAATACCATTTATATAATTTGGTAAGCTCTTATAACAACTCGGAATGTAAAAGGTATCGTTTGTATTTACTCGAAATGAACAAATATAAAACAGTAGATTAAATTTTTTTACTTAGACTTACAGGTATATAAACGTATTTGAACAATTATCGGCAGTTTTTGCCAATTTTTTTCGTTTTTATAATGTGTTCATTCGAGCAATGCAAACGGATCCAGCTACTCTTGCCGGTCGAATGATCTTGGCCAGAGATCAGATGGTCGTTCTCACCTGCCGGTAGGATTCCCCCGGTTTGAGGCACTCTGACACACCTGGTGTACCGGACTTGGACATTCTCTTGGTGGGGCTCTCTTCAGCCTCGCCTCGGTGCGTTACATACGTGAGCCTTCAGTTGTCACCGCAACGTCGGCGAAGTCGCATTGTGTGTTGCGTTTCCCGTTCGGCCGGCCCTATCGGTTGCGTTGGCGAATGTTCCGATTATTATTAGGAGTAGTGCGGATTCGATTCGGAATATTCGTGCTCGGCCAAAACGTGTCTCAGTGTGAAAATAGTGAAGGAAATGGTCTTGGGGACGAAACTGTGATCTGAAATCTAATTTCGGTCTCATGTGGTACCACTTTTACTCGGGAACGATCGGGACACATGTACGTCGGTGATCTCTATGCGGCGCTAAATTATGAGAAATTTAATTTAACTTTTTTTTAAATTTCTGCTTGCAAATTATGCATTTTGAAATTACTTGTTTCAGAGAAACACATATTTATATGCAAAATACACACACTAAAATAGATATACTTACGTAAATTAATTATATTGTGACAATAATCGGATATTTTCAATTTAAACTTTAAAACAACGCAATTATTTAAAAAAATTTTATTCTATTTTTAGCTCTGAGTCAGGCTCGAACATAATACATTTATTTTGCTTCTTTGATAATTAATATTCATATGTGACACTTATAATCGTAAACGTGATTACGTGTCATACAAAAAATGCGATTGCGACATTGCAATTTTCGTTATTTGGATTGCGTCTGTTTAAAAATGGTCTTGCTATCTCAGGTTTTTCTTCGACAGTATAAATAAATTAGCGAAACTTGGTAAAATGTACAATAAAACAAATAATAGTTGCATACATATTTACAATGTGACAGTGTGACAGCCAAATTATATAGCGCTTATGGGACTGAAAAGTGTAGCATGGGATTCACATGTAAATATCTTTTTAATTTCCATGAAAAATTGTTGGTTATTAATTCGAATTGCGTTTTATCGTTAATATATGTATGTTCAGAGATAAGACATTTAATGTTTCATTGGTAATATGTTTTCTCTTGAACCATCTGTTTTCAAATATCAGAACCTTAACACATGCTAATGAACGATTGGCAAGAGACATATATGCATACTTGTATAGAATTGACTAAAAAAATGTGTTTCTTTAAATTATTTGCAGTATGTTGCAATTGCTTGCATTTTTATGAAATGTATAATTTTAAATAATGGTCTAATATGTTTGTTATTGACGTAGAAAACATAATTTGTCCACATCAATTATTAGTTATTACTATACAGAGTAATTGTTCAGTGTTAAAAGTTTAACTTGTCTTCCTGGTAAATGTTGTACAAAAGAGACATTTCATATAAAATAAACAATTTATAAATAATGTGCGTACATAAATATATGATTCCAATATATGTGATGCACGCGTGGAAAAACAAAATATGCCTCAAGAAACATTTGATCTAGATTTGCGAGTTTCGCGCTGGAATAAAAAAGCTATGTGCTATTTGGGTTAGTAGACATACCGACGTTCTACATATGAATTATAAAATATTGGCTTGTTCGCACGTTAATTATATAAATGGTTAAAATGGACTCGAGACGCACGATTGCTTAATGAATGAATATCGAGCGTGATGGATTGCGACTGCTACTTTCTCGTATTCGTTAATTGCAGTTAGAATTGTTAACAGTTTTATGCGCATTAACGCGAATGCATGCAATGCATGTAGTTTCTCTTCGATTTGAAATTGCTACCAGGATTTGCTGTTTTAATAAGTTCAATACGTACATAGGTACATACCTGCGCAGAATGTTAAATGAAAAAAAATACTTATATATTTTTTAAATATCTAATTCAGTCATATTATTATTTTTAAAAATTGTAAGAAACAGAAAGAGCAAGAAAGACAGAGATGAAGGCGGATATCTGATTTAATTTAATGTCTTGATCGTGAATGTGTAGTCATCCTTCGATTTACGCGAAATATCCGTTCCATTTGGTTTCTTTGAATGTGATCGAAAATCTCCTAAATGGAGTCTGTCAGTATAAAACAATATATGTATATAAGACAAAAGCTCGTGTATGGAAAATATTTATTTCACACGTTACCACGAAAATAATAATAATGAAAGATTAGAAAAAGAAATTTTCATTTTAATTGTTGTCGCTATTAGTATACTGTACTCCCAAGCCGTCAATTTTCTTTTCTTAATTGGTTCGAAGTTACTATCCTCATCAGAAATATAGAAATATTTGGCATTTCAGTTTCAATATCAGTTCTTTTAAAGACATATTTTCTGACCGCATAAAACTAAGACCGTGTATTTGGAGAGATTATTTATTGTATAAAAAAGCATGTATAAGAAGTACCGAAATATAAATCGAGGGACGAATATGTGTGAATTTATAATAGATATTTAATTTTTCTTGAAAAATTAAGAGAAGCATAGGAAATTGCATTATTGATCAATTTAATCGTATTATTTTGATTTTATCTCTCTCTGTCTCTCTCTCTCTCGATATGATAAAATCAATATTTTAAGTGGCTTTCAATCAATTTTATCACAATGGAATGTGCTTCCTAACTGCGTTGTTCACATATAAAACACAAAATCACTTTATTATTCATAATTTATATTAAAACGACATTGTGTTTTACGTAAGTAAAACACTCGAGGCAGATGACTTCAGGGCCTCATATTTTTCGCAATTTATTGGCACACGTGTTGTCCAATTATAAAAATTATAGTCGACGTATGTATATTATATGAACCACTTATTAGATTAAAATTAGATGAATAAGAAGAAAAACAAAGAATATAAGTAAATAAAAATGATATTCATCCTTTTCGATTTACGCAGATTATTCGTTCTACGCGGTTTGTTTTTACGCGATGGAGAATTGCATAAACGGTGCCAGTACAAAAAAGTATAAAGGAATAAGCCTGTAAAATAATTTTTTACTTGTTTCTATTTACTTTTAGTTTTTCCTTTTAAACGGAAGGATTTTTACCACGTAAAAAGAAAAGCTGTGCATAAAAAAAGTATCGCGTTAAAATGAAGGAATGAGTAAAGATTTAGATAAGCGTAAACTGTAATTAAATCCTTATCTTATTGTTAGCATAAAAATTGTACATTGTTTTTCATAAAACTATAATGTAAAAGTACGCTATGAATAACTAAAATTTACGTCAAATACTTATTCACGCGTCCTCGTTTCTCTAAAACGAAAAATACACTTTATTCCATCAAATAAATGTATGTAGGTTTCCATGTGATCATCAATTCATACCAGTAAAAATGACAGTTGCGATTTTAATCTTCTGTTTAGAGATAAAATGATATCACGAGACACGGTAATGTCTCGCATATAAGCATAGCTAGATGCAGATGTCACGAGACGCATATGACAGTTATATCATGTGACTATGACGTTAGAAATCCAATAATTCCATTATACATGTGCATATACATTTTTAGAATATGTTCGTATGCACATATACAAAAGATCGTTCTTCATAAAATAATTATATATAATATGTTATCATCTTCATGACTGACATTTTCACGAGAATTATAGATTACTCTCGCGCGTGTGAAGAAGAGCTCTTTTTGCTACGTCGTTTAGTCTAATCATTTCTTGCATAGTCGTTTTTCTTGTGAGTCTCGCGTCATGGGTAACTGTTGCGTTTGCAGCAATCGTATGCTATCGCTGCCATTACGTCAGTAGCCTATATACCTACTTTACATAAGGATTATGAGACACTGAATTTTTTGGCTTGGAGCGCCGAAAAGTGATTAATTTGTGACTTTACGCCGTAAGAACATAATGGAAGATAAATTTTATGAAATAATAAAAGAATCTTACACTTTATGCTAGTGTATTAAGAGTAAACAGATGTTTACAATATATTACATTATAGCAGCCAAAGATCAAACTGTGAACTATGTGTTCAATATGCAATATTTTGAGAAAATTGTATATATTCGTAAACATTTTACAAATTATATATTTTTATTATATATCTTGTTTTAACTTTTTACTTGTTTGCGTTTTTATCTAGTTTTAAAGTAAAAAAAATGCAACTTTGATATACAATTTTGCAAACTCGCTTTTGCTCGATATTCGTCTCTGATAAACGTTATATTTTGGCACTCGGATTTATGGTACCGAGGTAACACAGAAATAGAATCTTAAGATATTATACGTTCGAAGACGACGTATATAATAAACAATCATCAGTAAATAAATTTCTACACGTACGAATGTATTTATTTTAAAAATAAATTTAACTATAAGTTTGTGTTACGAAATGTATGTTGTCGCGATTTAGTCTCTTTATAGAAATCGAAAAATTAAATCTGCATCACATTTTATTCTTTTTGCGTGAAACTTGTTTTTTTTTTCAATTGTCTAGTCCAGATATTTATATTATCGTTTAAATGTAATTACTATGAAAACTGTCTGTTAGATATGTCATTGTAGTAGTTATACTTTTTGTATCGCACCTTTGCACGCAGCGGACAATAGACAGGTGACATTCAATAGCAGGTGGTTACGTGACCAAGATTTTTTTCTACTTTTTCTCTTATCTGTTCATCGGAGCGCGACGTCGTGGTCGTACTTGTCGAAGCTCTGCGAGCACGGGGTTTTACTTTCACGGCGTAAGATCCCAAGTTAATGCGCCATTGCGCAATATACGCAAGGCAATAAAGCCGCGGAGGTTACTGAGCCCTCGCACGATCGCTATTAATAACCGTGCAAATACTGTCATCATCAGAGTCAGTTTTTCGTATCCTCAATAGAATCCTCACGGCAGCAGTAGATCAATAATAAAAATGCCGACGATAATCGCTGGTAGCCTGAGAGGTTCTTTAGGACCCTGCGCAATAGTGTGACCTATCTACGGCAGACTTAAGTGTGCGTTCGGATTATACAGCTGGAAATAAGTCATTTCTCCATTAAGCCCTCTTAGGCGATACTCACACTAGCCTTTTGTCCTTCAGTCTAGTTCCTTCCTTTCTATTTCTTCATGCATAGCATGAAGCTCCGCTAGATGTTTCGCTTGAAAAATCTTGATAATTCCTGTCAGATTTTACAATCCACAATACGATCAAAAGGTACCAGTGAATCTTCCGAAAGAAATAACAAATGATAAATAAATAATAATCAATTACGTTTACGAGTTTTTGATAATAAATAAAGAAATGTTGATAAAGACTTCTTAGACGTATATTTTTATATACATATTTATTAAAATCTGTAATCTTGAATTGTATCTTTTTTTATATGATTTGACTGTATGCATGAAATAGTGTCGACACACGTACAGACAATATAAATTATTTTTACACCGCAAACTTTGGCTGATTCGACAGGTGCCAAGAGTAATACGTCAAAAACAGACGCGTCGAATTATTCCATTTACCTATTTATACAGGGTGAGTCTTTCCATA